TATTGAAACCATATACCGTGACAATTTCTCAACAGAGGATCATGCTAGAGCAAACAGCTAAAACTAGTTAGTCGATGTTCGTTTTTTGGTTTCTTAAGTTATTGATTCTTTATTTTTTTTGGTGTGTTTGGTCCGTTTCCTTTTTTTTGTGTGAAAAAACTAAAATAAAGAAAACGGGTTTATAACGATATTGTGTGTATGCAGCATGCATGTGTTCTGGCCATACTAGTTTTGTATAGACAAATGAATGATGTTATTTACAACACATTGCAAGACTATAACATGATATGTATGGTCCTGCATGGGTTTGATGCGATTCCCATGAGCTCAACATGTTTTTCTTCCAGCGCGGACAACGCACCGAACCCATAGACAAACAGACAGACGGACAGGCGGACGGACGGACAGACAGACAGTCACGTAATTTAGATGATATGCAAATTGACAATGGACATTTACTATTGCATTGCCACTTTTGTCTTTTGAATTTCTGAATTTCCCGCGAGGTTTCAACGGGGTCTGTTGGTGAAGCTCTTGGCCATCAATGCCAATGGGTCAGGTTTTGCGCCTCGCTACAATAGTGGGTGGATATTAGACAGTTGGTGTCAACCACCTTCACTTGTTGGTCTGGTTGGCGGTTCCCAATATCATTTGTATACCTGTTCACCCCTCCCAGCATGATACCAACAGGTTGCATCGAATTCTTGAAGGATCGGTGGCTCAACCAGAGATCGTCCATCTCCAACTGTTTGTGGGGGGATGTGAGCATAAACAAAGGGAAGATCAACAATCAACGTCAATCAACCAAGAATCCAACAGCAAACGGTAGAGTTCCATGTTGAACGCGTGACGAGATTATAACAAACACGTCGAAACAGCGACAATCAGCCAGCAACCAACATCCATCGACCATGGTTTAGTAGGGGATTTGTCCATTTGGGGACCATAGAAAAGGGGCGGAAGGGTAGTCCAAAGATTTGGGTCGCCATATCCACATAAAAATCGACTAGTGATGTAAAATTTGCTGCTGTAATTTTGGGTTACAGTAATACTATACCCTGGAAACTGACTGGATCACTATTATTGGGTCACTAAATCCCCAACCAGTGACTGACTGCTATAGCATCCCCAAATCTTCGCCAACAGTCGGTTGATGCCAGGCTGCCAGTTTCACCTCTTCCCTCTTCCGAAATTTGCCAACAAAATTGGATAGTTTTCATATTCAAGATGGACTTAAATCATCTTAAATCATCTTAAGTCATAGTTAATAATGGAAACTATCATCTTTACTCTGGTTTATCCCAGGTCTTGAATGGCTTGACCAGCCCTTTGTCTCAAGGACAAGAAGATGGCGCAACTCCTTGGTTTGCGCTTCGGTCGTCAGCCGCACCATGAGGGCTACCAGTCATTGGATTGGTCTCTGCAGGCTGAGCGATGGCATTTTTTCCAACATGAATCATGGTGAAGGCAGAGGTAGCCAACAATGATGTACATATGTTACATTCAATGGATTGGTTTAAGGGAAAATCTACAGGAAACCATGGTTTTTACCATCAAATATAGGGGTTTCCTGTAAATTTTCCCATCATCCAATTCTATGTTACATATGTTTGAATATATGTAGGTACCAGTGATGACTGGGGCGCTGGCCTATGAAAATTAGGCAATTAGGATGGTGAAACCAGACCCGAAATCCAATGGCACTTTGTGTCTGAAAACTGAGTACAGCCCCAAATCCAGCTGTTCCAATGGCAGGGAAACTCGTGAGTTTGTCAGCTCCACCAGGAATGGCCCAGAGACAAGGACCACGAGTCCGGAAAGGGTATCGCAGGCTGGTGCCGGGTGGTGCCAAGGTTGAGGTAGGTAGAATTCAGCAAATATGGCCATCCTACCATGGTGACTTAGGGTATGACCATGGTAACAGAAGTGATGAATGCAATTTTTGCAGCTCTTGGTGATAATGAAGAAAAGATCAGTTTCCACAGCTTTTTGGAGGCATGTTTCGATTCCCCCTCAAGGAGGGACACCTGTGACATTCTTTGACAATTTCTAAGTGCACATGGCTTTTGATCTAAAGGCCCTTGTAAGGAGGTATGATCAATTGGAATGACTGCACACATCTAACCTCCATGCACATCACTTTTTTTCGCATCTCACAATCCCCATCAACAAGGATATCATTAACATCCATTAAGCATATAGCTAAGTCTATATTTTATGTCTATTAGCACTTTCTTGTCTATGTTTTGTCAACATCTGACACCCCCGCCAATAAAGATACCATTAACATCCTATTAACCTTCTGGCTAAACCTGGTGAAAAAATCATATGGCTATTCGATATATAAATCCCAGCTATTTTGATGTGAACAGAAGGAGTACAGGCTTTTGAAACTTTTGCCCCATCCCCAGTTCAACCAATTTCAACCATATCACCTTCCAGGCAACTGGTTCACCTCGGCTTCACTGGTGGGTCAGCCTCTAGCGGCCAGCGGAAGTGAGACGGGCACGGCCTTGTACGGCTGCAACCGCTATGCCTGCGGCAGGCGGAACTGGGGGCCGTGGGATTGCTGGTGATGGTGATCCTTGGTGATGGAGAGGGTGACCTGAACTGCTTGGCTGGAAATCTCAAGAGTGTTTGTTTCGTCGGTTTTTTCTTTTTTTGCAGGTAAAAGGATCATGTTTCTGGTTCTTTCTGTGCTTCCCGAAGGGTACGCAGAAGTACATCTGGCTGTGAAAATTTCAGATGATACGTCAACTGTCAGTCACATCCCTTGATTTTTTGATGTCGGTTGCATCCCCATAGTATCAAGATGTATCAAGAATCAAGAATCAAGTCAGGTGAGTCATGGCTTGGAGACCCTTTTTGAGGAATGCACTCGTGAGGTCCATGGATTCGCATAAGCTGCTAGCAGCCACTGGGCCTTGAAGCGGAGCCGTTGAAGCGGGGTTCATTCGGGACCCCCATCCTCTGGTGGTCCATATGACGCAGCTGGCAACAGATGGAAATTGCAGGCAGTTTGCTTCTGGTTATCCTCATCAAACATGGCTGGAAAATTCCAGAGGATTTTCCCAGCTGGAAACCTCCAGTTCTGGGATTTCCCACTTTGATTGCGGAAAAAAATCGGTGTGTCTCATCAAATCGCATGAAATCCCAGGAACTCCCTATAGTAAATCCCTATAGTAAATCCCTATAGTATCTATAGTTGATGCTATTTATATAATTTATATACCATAGTTTTCCATCATTTACCTCCACTTTGTACCTGGGAGCTGAGGTCTTCCAGCCCTTTCCCATCGTGGGCTGCGGCTTCGTTTCAGACGCCGGCACCAACGCTGCCGGGGAGTTCACGGGCTGCGTCCGGGAATGGCCAGGAGCGGGGTCGGGGCGGGATGGGGGGATGGAGGGGAGGGCGGCAGAGAGAGAGATGGCATGCTGGAGAGAACCAACGACACAAAACTACATCCCCGCAAGAGGAGCAAGGAAGCAAGAACGGATGATCGAAGGAATTCAACAAAAGCAAAGCCAAGCAAAGCAAAGCAAGTTAAGTCAACGCGCACACACACACATGACACGCATGCATGCGTGCACGCACGCATGCATGCAAGCATGCAAGCACACACGAAGGCACGCACGCACGCACGCAAGCACGCACGCACGCAAACACGCGCGCGCATGCGCGCACGCACGCACGCACGCAGGCAGGCAGGCAAGCAAGCAAGCAAGCATTCCAAGCAAGCAAGCAAACCAAGCAAAGCAAAGCAAAGCAAAGCAAAGCAAAGCAAACAACCATCACGATTTTGAATTGGAGCCCAAATAGGGATACGAATAACAAGTAACGTTTGACCAAGGCAATCGTGAGTTCTGACGGATTTCCAGCAAACATGGGCTTGTGAGCCAAAGCGAAGTGAGAATGCTATGTGTTCCCGACCCATCACTTCCAAGCATCCATTGTTTGCGAGTTGCTAGGGATTATCACATTTGATCTGCTGTGGAAATATCTCCCGTCTCAAAAAACAAACGAGATCTCGCAATTTTACCTAACCGTTGGAGTGGTTGATCTTAAGACCCATTGAACCCCAAATTTATGAACTTGCCATACACCAACTCGTTGACCTAGTGGACCTAGTGAAATAAACCAACTCAGCTACCTGCCACAAATTGTAGTTAAACCATGTATAAACCATGTATAAACCAACTTAACTATGGGGCCCCACTTTGTGCACCCCAAACTGCCCAGATAGACGTGACGGCCACGTCTCGCGCTGTCTGAGCTCCCCGGACGACTGCACCTTCCGACGGCCCGGGGCGGCCTTTGGCGACGAAGCGCGGGGGGTGTGGCGAGTGGATAGGTGGCTTGGCATGGAACCCAGTTCTCCGGGGAAGTTCGAACTTCAGAGATGATTTTTCAAGGTCCCCTGAGGATTTTTTTTTGAAAGGGGACTTCTACCACAACTTGTGGGGTATCTTGGCCGGAACTTCCCAGAGGTCTTTTTTTTTTTGTTCACGGACTGAATCTTGCGGATGATTCCCACATCTGAAAAATATCAGATCCATTGCTGCATTAGTGGTCCTAAATCTCGAGAAGCCCAGGAAGTTCCTGTCGCACTTTTCCCTGGGCTTCACGGGGCGTTTTGACCCGGACTCCTCTGGCGCCCAGCGGTTTATGGAGGAACAGCGGAAGTTTAATCCCAAACCCACCCGGAAACAGTTCGAGGCCGGGGGGAATATTCGGATATTTACCCTTAGGAAGTCGAAAATTGTAAATGGATTGTCTCGTTGTATTGGGGTGAAACATGTGTTTATTTTTTTGAACATACACATACATTGCGCTAAGATATACCAGGATGGGGAAATTCTATTGGAAAGAACCTATTAGAAATGAACGGTTTTTTTGGGGTTATTATTTTGAGACAGAACCTGGAATGTGCGAATATGGTTTTCCCAGTGTTTTTTTCCTTGTCGGAGCGAAACGTCGCACGCTGACTTGGTGGCAGCGTGGACAAGGGTCTTCATGTACGCAAAGATTTTCCACTCTTCCAATGTCAGAACGTCATAGGGCCAGCAACGACATTTCCAGGCCGGTGAAAAGATTCACACCATGGGTTACAATGAGGTTATGGTGCAGGCGCCTTGAGTTGCACGTAATTCTTGAGGCCAAAACGCCAGCCGACACTCGTTGAGTTTGCAAATATCTTTGATTTTCAGTCGAAGGAACGTTAGATGAAGGCCTTAGCCACTGAGAGCATTTGACGGGCCATCAGTGTGTGCAGGTAGGGACGCCTGCGATGTTGTTTGAAGAGATGCACAAGGACGGAGTGGTCCCCAAGCGCTTCAACGTGAACCAACTGAGGCGGCAGTTTTTTCATGTTCGTTTTAAGTTGAAAACATCTTCGGGTCCCTGAAAGCCTGAAAATACAATTTCTTTATTATTTGTGTTCGATTCCCATCATTTTTGTAATTATATGCGCCCTTTAACCACCATTTCATCGTATTCAGCACCATTTTAACTGCCATTCCACCACAAGTTTGTGGGGATAGTGGGGTACTTGTCATTTGTACATTTTTTTTTGGGGTGAAATCAAACATCCAACCATTTCATATAGAAACGATTTCTGTTTTTTCGCAGGTCACAGAGTAAAATACATGACATCTTGTTCTGATATTTCTGGTGAAAACTGTGAATTTTCCCACAATTCTCCAACGTTTTCCCAGGGTTTTTGTCCGGATTTTTGGTGGCACCAGGCTTTGGCAATGTCGCACCAACGGCATCCGCGCCTTCGCGCGGGTGCAGCCACCGGTGGTGGATGAGCATGGCAGGCGTGGAGCGGGGGTGGCAAGACCTGGGGACTGCTGGAAAAACGGAAGATTTTAAGCCAATTTAAGGGAAAAAACGGCAGCAAGCCATGTTTTTGGGATTGATTTTTGGGAGTTTTAGAGAGTTTCAATTATTTTTTGGGCTTCAAAGTGGAAACGTCAGTGTGAAACTCCAGCACTTCGGGCATGTTGATCTCATGGCAGCTGTTCAACAACTAGAACTGGATCATCTCCTCGTTGCAGCCTCAAGCTGACGCAGGCAAGTCGAACGCCAGCGCTACGAAGTCTTCTGCAAGATGCGGGATGCTTATGACCCTCGGCTAGCGACTTGTGGAGAGATACGGACCTGTCCAGTGTCCAGAGTTGTGCACCTAGAACCTCCATGATTTTATAGGTGAGCATGTTGGGTACTGGCCCAACTTGTTTCGAGCTCATTCGTAAATCAATGCGATCTTCATTGGTTTTACAAACCCTTTGGCTGATGTTTCCACCAGTTGTTGCGGCCACAACAGGCCTTTTTTGTTGCTGCTCCAGACCATCTTTGTTGGTGAAAATTCACCTCTAGTGGTTCACATGAGCAAGGGTCAAAAGATGGTATGTAGAGATGTAGTATTCGGCCGCCGTCACTTTCAGAAATGTGTGATTTCCTGTGGGGAGCGATAGGGAGCCTTGAAGAGCGATACCCCCTTAAGTCGTGCAAATACTACTACTACTACTACTGCTACTGCTACTGCTACTGCTACTGCTACTGCTACTGCTACTACTACTACTACTGCTACTCCTACTATTACAACTACTCCTCCCACCACTCCTACTACTCCTACTACTCCTAGTACTCCTACTACTGCTACTACTCCCACTACTACTACTCCTACTTCTACTACTTCTACTACTTCTACTACTTCTACTACTACAACTACAAGTACAACTACAACTAGAAACTGGTCTGAAACTGGTCTGAAACTGGTCTGAAAGACCTTCCGGCTCACCATCTCAGACTCTATGCTCCTTCGGTTGCAGCATCATTGCTTTGTTTTGCTTTTCAGTTGCAGGAAAGATTTGTTCTTTTTGCAATGTTTTAGTTTCATTGCCGGAGCATTTCGAAGGGCAATGGCCGTGTTTAAGTTCAGCCTCTTTTCCGGAAAAGGGCAAAGCCCCGTGAGCACCCCCAAAAGGGTCTGAAACCGGTCTGAAACCACTCTGAAACACCTTCCGGCTCACCATCTCAGACTCTATGCTCCTTCGGTTACAGAATCATTGCCTTGTTTTGCTTTTCAGTTGCAGGAAGGATGTGTTATTTTGTATGTTATGGTTTCATTGCCGGACCTTTTCGATGGGCAATGGCCGTGTTTAAGTTCAGCCTCTTTTCCGGGAAAAGGGCAAAGCCCCGTGAGCGCCCCCAAAAGGGTCTGAAACCGGTCTGAAACCACTCTGAAACACCTTCCGGCTCACCATCTCAGACTCTATGCTCCTTCGGTTGCAGCATCATTGCTTTGTTTTGCTTTTCAGTTGCAGGAAAGATTTGTTCTTTTTGTATGTTTTAGTTTCATTGCCGGAGCATTTCGAAGGGCAATGGCCGTGTTTAAGTTCAGCCTCTTTTCCGGAAAAGGGCAAAGCCCCGTGAGCGCCCCCAAAAGGGTCTGAAACCGGTCTGAAACCATTCTGAAACACCTTCTGGCTCACCATCTCAGACTCTATGCTCCTTTGGTTACAGCATCATTGCTTTGTTTTGCTTTTCTTTTGCAGGAAAGATGTGTTATTTTGTATGTTTTGGTTTCATTGCCGGACCTTTTCGATGGGCAGTGGCCATGTTCAAGCTCACCCTCTTTTCCGGAAACAGGGCAAAGCCCCGTGAGCGCCCCCAAAGGGTCTGAAACCGGTCTGGAACTGCCGGTAACTGCTCACCATCTCAGACTCTATGTCTTTCCGGACCGCAATGTCTACAGTTAGAGTACGTTTTGGGTGCTTGCTTTTCCGGACCGCTGCATGTCTTTCCGGACCGCAATGTCTACAGTTTGAGTACGTTTTGGGTGCTTGCTTTTCCGGACCGCTGCATGTCTTTCCGGACCGCAATGTCTACAATTAGAGTGCGTTTTGGGTGCTTGCTTTTCCGGACCGCTGCATGTCTTTCCGGACCGCAATGTCTACAGTTAGAGTACGTTTTGGGTGCTTGCTTTTCCGGACCGCTGCATGTCTTTCCGGACCGCAATGTCTACAATTAGAGTGCGTTTTGGGTGCTTGCTTTCCGGACCGCTGCATGTCTTTCCGGGCCGCAATGTCTACAGTTAGAGTACGTTTTGGGTGCTTGCTTTTCCGGACCGCTGCATGTCTTTCCGGACCGCAATGTCTACAATTAGAGTGCGTTTTGGGTGCTTGCTTTTCCGGACCGCTGCATGTCTTTCCGGACCGCAATGTCTACAGTTAGAGTACGTTTTGGGTGCTTGCTTTTCCGGACCGCTGCATGTTTTTCCGGACCGCATGTGTTTCAAGTACAATGTGTTTTGAGCTTTCTTTTGGATGTCTTAAGAACTAGGTAGCCCCATAACAGGCCCCAAAAGAGGTCTGAAACCAGTTCGAAACATCTTCCTGCTCACCGTCTCAAGACTTCTTCTTTGTCTCTGTCTCTTTCTCCCTTCTCTTCTTTCTTTTCTCGTTCTTTCCTTTTTTTCCTCCAAAGCTGAGGTAGCCTAAGGACAAAAAGAGGTCTGAAACCACTCTGAAACACCCCGCTGCTCACCATTTACAACGCTCTCTCTCTCTCTCTCTATCTCTCTCTATCTCTCTCTATCTCTCTCTCTCTTTCCCTCTTCCCCTCTCTGTCTCTCTCTCTCTCTCTCTCGCCTTCTATTTTTCTCCATCCCTGTCTCGTGCTATCCTCTTTTCCGGACCGCTGCATGTCTTTCCGGGCCGCAATGTCTACAATTAGAGTACGTTTTGGGTGCTTGCAAAGCAGCTCCTCCAGCAGTTCTTCTTCAGATTCATCCAGCTCAGAGAGGTGAAAGCTCGGAGCAGTTGCTTGCTTCATGAATGTGATACCTACTTTAACTGGGTTTCGTATTAGCGATGCCCCCCTCCAAACTAATGAAAGCAATGATATGTAAATTGTTACGGGACTGTGGTTAGCGATGGGACCTTTCCAAATTATGTTGATGTCCTTTCCTCAGACAAGGAGTTTCGACAGCCGCACATATATATATATGTATTTTTTAATAGGTATATATTCTCTTTTTATATATGGTAAATGGTAAATATTCTTTTTTATATACATATGTATATATTAATATATATATATATATTTATATGCATAAAAAATGCACATACATATGAATATTTATATATTTATATGAATACATATATTGTTTTTGGCAAAAAGTGAGCTCCCACTGTGTGAAGCGATAGGGAACCTTGAGGAGCGATACCCCTTAAACTGATGACCATGGAATCAGTACCATGTTTTGACCGTCGCACACATCACAGTTAGACCAACCCCCCATTGTGCCGAGATACCCCAAATCCTGTCAAACTATTTGACTTCAAAAAACCCACATTTTGTTGACTAGATATTTCAGACAGTTTCTGTTTTGTTAAAGACAGAAACTGAAACAGCTTGTAATTTATCATCTTTAAACATCTATTTATACCTACCATCTATTATCATTTACCATTTACCTATCATTTATAAATAGCTTCCCAGGATTCTGCTCAACTGAGTCCTCCGTTTCCCGGGTCTTAGCGCCTCAACACCCCAAGGACAAAGCCTGCGGCCGCGCAGAGCCCACGCCCATCCTCTCCTTCGACCTCTCAGCAGCAGAGAAGCCCTTCGCCGCCCAGGTGCCGTGGCTCTGGATGTGGATTTTGTTTTTTTCCCATGTTTGTTTATATATATAATATGATATATATATATAATATATATATATATTATATTATATATATTATATATAATATATATATACAATATGGCCATGAGTCAAAACCTATAGGTATCCTGAATCACCTAATGGATGATCATCCAACCCAGAGGGCACCAAACACATTTTTGTTTTTCCATCCTCTGTCCGCGTTGCTTTCTGAGGACATGGAGCAACTCTTTCCGTGCCGTGCCGCAGCACGACGGAAAAAAATCGTTGGTCCGGGGGATGGTGGGACAAACGCAGCCCGCTTTGCTGATCTTATTGGTAGATGATGGCCCATATCCATTTCGGACAGTGGCCACGCGTAAGTCGTGCTTTATAGCCCACGCGTATATAAGCAAATCCACGCGACATAGGATTTTGATCACACCTTTTGGACGCTCCGCTCAACACTGTTGGTTTGGCTATTTTTCATGCTAACTTTGGGGCATATGAGATCATATGAGTACCAATCATCATGAAACAATGGAATACTGCCCTGCGACGGTTGATGGAATGATGCCTGGCTGCCATCAAGATCGAGCGAGTCACTGGACCAAACGTCTCCGTGTTTTCGGGCATTTCGGCTCAGATAGAAGAGTAGCACATGAGGCAAATAAAAAGCGTGAGTAGACCGAGGTGAACAACTGCCGTTCAAGATAGGGACAAGCAGTTGGCCCACGGTATCCATCCATTTTTACAGTTCATACAAATTGATCCAGCAGCGATCTATCCGATACACTGATACACTCTAAGTTGGTATATTAGTAATTATTAGTATATATATATAATATAATTAATATATATATATATATACATATATTTGGACATTTTATTGGCTTGACAACACAGGATCCACGTACTGCACAGCAAGGATTCGGACACCAGACGTTGAGATCAGCACTGTGACGGAGCCTTGCTACGATGGAGGCGCGGAGATCGACCCGCGTAGATATCAGGAACAAAAGGAGATATGAAGCAACAACTGGGGTGGTGGTGACCCATGCAACCTTCAATGTTGTTGTTGTAGATTGTTGTAGATAAAATATAGAGCAACGACATATCAGATTCTTAACTGACATATATCTGACATATTTTAACATTTTTGAACGTAATGAATCATGCAAGTAGGACCTCCGAACAAACAGCCTGGCGGTGGATCTGGTGATTTAGATGCATCACCTGAGCAGTTAGAATACCCAACTTGGGTCAACTTATTTGGGATTACATCTTATGTCAGTGAATCATCATTTTCCCCATCATTTTAAAGCCATATTTCTGGGGGTGGCTTTACCCACAGTTTCATGTGGAAGTTGACCACAACTCGTGGGTTCCAGGCTCGCTGGCCGCCGCGGTCGCAACAACTGTGACTCGGCGATGCGGAAAAAAACCGGCGGTTGGAGTTAAATTTTCCCTTGAAATTTTATGATGCGAAGAGAATATTTATACCATAATGAGGTAATTTTGTGGTATGATGAGGCAATATTCTCTTCGCACCATAAAAAAATCAATATACATATGATATTAATTACATAATTTATATAATATTACCTCATCATACCACATCGACTTATGGATTTTCATGGATTTTCATGTCCCTCACATATTGGGTATATCAGTGGTGACCCATCCCCCCACCAACCCCGACGGCCCCTACGTTTCACTGAAATGGTCAGGTTCGGCGCCAAGCCGTCCAATGACCAGGCGCTGGTGGGATTTCACCATCTAAGATGGGGATAGGAGGGACATAAAATATCTTTAAGATGCAGATCATCAGGGGATTCTACGGATTCTAGAATCCACTCATATGGGATTCAACCATTTGACATGGGGATATGATGATACCCAAAAAACATCCGAAAAAAAGCCCATCTATATAATCATGATATCCCCATTTTAGATCGTTCTGCCAACAAAAATCACCCCCCAATGATGATCAATGATGGACTGGCTGGTGGTCTGACTGGCTTGTTTTCAGGGGAGTGGCTCAACCACCAGAGAAACATGGAGGTCCGTTGATCTTCAGCGTCACTATTTTAATTTTCAGCTGAGTTCCACGATATGTTTCAAGTTAGCCAGGAATCAGCCTGAAGTTCTCACCCGGCACTGTTTCAGGTGGCATTTGGATTTAGATTTCAAGCAGGTTCCCCGGATCTGCTTGTGGACAATTTGTAAAAACAATTTAGATACTTGAGAAATGATGCACTCCAGTTGATAGGTTCCATAATTATTGCCATAATGGTGCACTAACCGCCTTCGGAGAACTTTTATCATCTCCAGCATTTTGTTGACCTACCATGCCCATCCATGCCCCCATTTAAACATCATTTAACCACGTTTTAGCCTCATCCCTCAGCATCTTCCCTCACCAGGCTCCGCCTTTGGATCCCTTGCTCAGTGATCAGTTGAGCTCCATGGGGCAGGAGGCGCGGCAGACCTTCACATATCAAGTGTTGCGATTCCAAGTTCTTACCCTCCTGTAATTTTCATCATCAGTTGGTAATCCCTGAAGCAGATTCTATGGGAAACATGTGGAAACACATGGAAACACATCACTAAATACTGGTTGGTGGTTTGGAACATTTTTTATTTTTCCATATATTGGGAATCATCATCCCAACTGACGAACTCATATTTTTCAGTAATATATACCCTCTGGTAAACAAACATAGCTATTGAACATGGCCATAGAAATAGTGGATTTACCCAGCTATAAATGGTGGATCTTTCCATCGTTTTTTGGTATGTTTGCCAGAGGGTACACCCCAATCATCCATTTTAATAGGGATTTTCCACTCTAAACCATCTTTTTTTGGGTTACCCCCCAAAAAATGGAGATGATTTAGAGTGGAAACTCCCATCCATTTTAATAGGGTACCCTCATTTATGGAAACCCCTGGTTGATGTAGGATTTTCCAGCAATTTTCCTGTTTGATCAGATCTCGCATCTCTTGCTGCGAGCTGGGCCACCCAAGGACTTTGAGGTGCGACAGCTGTCATGGAACACATGGGAATCACATTCCGGAGGAGATGGTCATCAATCCAGAAAAAGGCGATCTAAATATAGGTTACAGTAATATAGATATGGGTTGATAAATAGATTTATGATAGATTTATGGTATTTAAATCTATTGATTTTTATGATATATGGTATCTAATCAACAGGATTTATGATAGATTTTTATGGTATTTAAATCCATTGATTCATTGTAGGTTTATATACCCATTATATCAGGAAAATGGATGACCATAAACCATATACTATATACGATCATATACGGTTGTTTTGACCACCATGGGGTTCAATACTAAGTCATGGTCTTCTGGCTGGATGATTTTGGGGGTCCCATTGTAGGAACCCCACGTCAGGTTCCTTGACGGCTCCAGACGTTCCGATGTCTCTCCACTTGACAGCGATCTTGATGATTACCGGTACCCTCTGGTACACTAACATAGCTATTGAAAATGGCCAGAAAATAGTGAGTTTTCCCAGAAAAAAAGGTGATTTTCCATAGTTATGTTAGTTTACCAGAGGGTATGTACCTTTATTTGTGGCTCCATATGAAATCTTGACCTGTAGAAACCGCAGAGTTGCTGTCTTGTGGTGACATCCAGAAGCTATACAGTACACCCTGTCGCCTGCCACACCAGGTTGGTGGAATCTCCTAGGATCGAAGCATCCATGAACACCATCTATTTTGATTATATTTTGGTGTTGGTTTAAAGACATCTTGTCAACTTTGATCCGATAGAAGTTTGAAATGGGATCATGACCCCCAATAACGATGGTAATTCTGCGATATTCATATGATATGATGAGAGTGTTCTTTTTTTTGTTGGGGATGTTTTTTTGGGATATACATGGGATATCAACACAAACATCATATTATAAATTATTACAATATATCAATATATTATATCATATCCTTTTCGTATCATACAAACATGATATACAGGATGGGACGGAGGATGGATCTCCCATCCCATTGCCCAGCGATGCCAGGTGTTGAGACCGGCGCCGCTGCAGCCGGCGATGAGGCGCAGCGGCATTGATGACATGAATGGGTTTGATGTTGGAGATGATGTGGGTGCTGTTCTTGTTGTTCTTGTTGTTGTTGTTGTTCTTCTTGTTGTTGTTGTTCTTCTTGTTGTTGTTGTTCTTGTTGTTGTTGTTGTTCTTGTTGTTGTTGTTGTTGTTCTTGTTGTTGTTGTTGTTCTTGTTGTTGTTGTTGTTCTTGTTCTTGTTGTTGTTGTTGTTCTTGTTGTTGTTGTTGTTCTTGTTGTTGTTGTTGTTGTTGTTGTTGTTCTTGTTGTTGTTGTTGTTATTGATGATGTTGTTGTTGTTCTTGTTGTTGATGATGATGATGTTGTTCTTGTTGTTGTTGTTGTTCTTGTTGTTGTTGTTGTTGTTGTTGTTGTTGTTGTTGTTGTTGTTGTTGTTGTTGTTGTTGTTGTTGTTGTTGTTGTTATTGATGATGTTGTTGTTGTTCTTGTTGTTGTTGATGATGATGATGTTGTTCTTGTTGTCGATGATGTTGTTGTTGTTGATGATGGTCAATTTTCAGCACTTTGCACTACAAGCAAAGATGATGTTTTGTATGTTGAACTATGATCAAAGATGATTGGGGAGACAGTGTTATGATGAGCGCTGCAGTCACCAGGCGTTTGCCCATGGAAGAGCCATCAAAGGTGCCTGGCTCGGCCAGGAAAGCCCAGACAGATTTCAGGAAATAAATGGAGAGACTTGGCCAGCAGTGGATTTGATGGCACTCAAAGAATTCTAGGGTGAACTAGCAAGGATTGCCAAACTTGTGGTTCCCTTGGTATTGAAATATCATAAATATGCACCAATCACTGTGGAATGCTTTTCTTGAGTCAAACACTAAGGTGCTTTCGCCGCGGACTCCTACCATGCCATCCTTGCCTCCCAAATCGGAGAAGGCTGTTGTTGCGGAGGGGGATGGCGGGATATTGGAGTTCCCAAATGCTTCTGGATGAAGTTACATGAAGATTTCTAGCTTCATTTTCAACGATTCTTTTTTAAATCTTGAAGCTTTATGATCTTTTCCCAAAGTTTTGGAGAGCGTGATAGCAGTACCTGCCTTCTGGCCATGGTCATCTCAGGTAGTGGCTGCTTCAAGTCATTTCTATGACGTCAGATCAACACTTCCTGTTTGATCATTGAACGACCCTTAGATCATCAAACACATTGATCATCAAACTTTGACTGTTGAAATTTCCCCGAAATTTCGACACCTTGAGTATCGCATTTCGATTCATGTGGTAAAGCTAA